CCAGGTCAGATTAAGATAACTGAGATTTAGGTGAGATTACAGTAAATTTCACTTCTAGTTAGCTGAGCCCAGATAGCTAGAGAGTCTGTCTCTATTTTTTTAAGGAAAAAAAGAGGTTTCACACCCAAGTTACAAATAAAATTATTACAGCTTAACTTCCACACAATGACTAAAGTTTATTCACTGCAAGGAGCAAGAATTAAATAAAAAAATCAAATTGATTTTTTTTCTAAATTTCTCTTTTTAAAAAATTAGGCACACAACTTGTCTTTTGCCTTTGATTAGTTTTAATCTCAGGTTCTCATGCAACCTAATTTACTGTTACCATAAATAGAATCCCAACAGAAAAGCTATATTTTAAAAAAAGAAAGAACATATTCCCAGGGTTTTACACTCAGAATCAAGCAAAACCATGAGGAAATTAGTCTTCAGCTTTCAGATTTTTCTTTCTTACTACAGTCTGGTAGTTATCTTGGCCACCATCTTAGTTAATAAATTTACCCATGTATCAGTTCTGCATTACTGTAATTGCTACTGACAAAATGAATAACTTGTCCAAATTTGTGACATTTTTTTAAGAAGTGAGGAATATGAACTTGAGAAAGCCACCACATTTTTGTGTTTATTAGACTAAATATGCCCTTTTAAAGTACACAGAGTTTTCCCAGCAGTTTGGCTTTAAGAAGTCAGAAGGCTTTTGAAGATATTTGCTTAAACCACGAAACTTTGCATGCTTTTCCCTTGTAAATAAAGGATAATGTAATGCAGAAGAATCTTATTTAAACTTTGCATACAAATATGCATGAATGCCAATTGGATTCAATTTTCCTGACTTAATTTGAATTAACTGATGGGTCTTTTGACACAAGCTGTACTAATTGTTGCTTATTTGGGTGCACTATATCAGTGAGCATGGCAATCAAAAGCTCAGCCAGATGTTCATATTTTCTTTGATTGCCCACAGCCCTAGGTTTGAAGAAAAGTCAATCAGCAAAATTATTATTCTTAGCATCTGTCAAGGTACTGATCACATTACCATAATGGCTGTCAGAAAAGCAGAGTGGCTCTGATTCCCTTTCACTTAACCTGGTATCAGCCCTCAGCTCTCTGCAGTCCTGGTGTGATACCATCACAAAACATGGAAGTTCTATGAAATTAGACCAAGGGTATTTATAAGTGGTTGAGTTCACCACAGTAAAGAGTGAATATATTTTAATCTTTATATAAACTTAGGTTTGTGTAAGTAACTTCTATTAAAGTATATTTTGTGTGTTTTATACTAGCACGTATTTACAATGTTGTATTGACTAAAGGAATATTTCTGTCCAAACTTCATATAAAAGCTTTTAAGAAGTTGAAAAACTAAATGTATTACAACTATGCACAGGAAGTCTGAGCCTACTGAAAAAGTTTATTTTGATTTGCTTTAAAACTTTTGGACACCTGTAAAATTCATCATCTATATTTACAGCTCAAGCAATTTTTTTTCATTTCATTAGTATTTTCATGAAAGCATTAGAGAAAAACAATTTTTGTGGGTATGGTTTTTTCCAAGTGTTCTAAAAGCATCTGCCAGAGAGAGAATTTGCATTCATTTTCAGATGGGATACAAATCAAGGCTGTCTTAACCTTTCTCTCCCTTCATCCCTAGGTATTTAAAATGTGTCTTTGCATTTCCTGCATAACTGGATCTAGCTCATTAAAGGTAAGACCTTTTTTTGCAATCCCCTTAGGAGCAGTGCCTAGCAAGGGAAACTGCATGGTTTGCACCTTTGTTAATTTAAGAATTTACCATGGCCTGGAGTTCTGCCTGCCCAGGAGTGTCTTAACTTGCAATCCCCACCTGCCTGCCTGGCAGCTGAGTATTTTGAGCAGGACTTGTCATTTCATTTGTTTCTAAGGGATACCTTCTGCCCAAGACAGTTCATGGCTAAGGAGAACCAAGGGAAGAGAGCCCAGCCTAAAGCACAACTGATGATTTGATGCTTGTCTCTGTAAGACTGGTGCAGGTCTCTCACTTTGTTGTACATGTTGCATAGAAACATCCTAAAGCTGTGACTGTAGTGGACTCCTTGCCATGTCCCTTAAAAGGTGATGGACTGTGGAGAAGGGAATTCTTTATTTTCAACTGTTTATCTTAAAATTCTGCTGAAACGTCCTTCATATTTCACCAAGTGCAAAAGCAGACCTGTGGACATTAACAACACTCTGTGCTGCTTCTCCCTATTCAGCAGTGAAATTTTTGTTCCTCTTTTACAGTATTTAATGTGTGTGACATCAAAAAGATGAATTTAACCTGACAGAGGAAGATAATAGGGGAAAGATTCTGAAAATATTATTATGGGTGATGAGCTCCAGCAGCAATTAATTCAGGAAGGAGTTTACTGAAGGAAGCTTCCAGGCTCAACCACTAAACCCTTAATGTGGCTTAGTTCTCAATCAAAGCTTTCAGAGAAAGAGATTGCATGAAAGAGGAGCTACCGTATCTGCCACAAAGCTGCTTAATATGACTCATGTCTCAGCAGAAGTGTTTCCAGCATAATAACTTTAGATAGTGCTTCAAAACCAATGACACACATCCCTAGCTCATTTATAGAGTTGTTTAAATATTGCCTTTGCATGCCTGCTGTTCGAATGCTTACAGGAACTCAGGTTTTGCAGCCCATTCTACCACAGAAACACCTGGGTAAAGAAAACAAACCCTTTGTGTTTCTTCACTCTGAAAAGGTCTCACAGCTCAGGTTGCAGACATCAGACTCTGGAGAGACTGACCCCAGAGTGGTGCTAACTCAAGGGAAGTGTTTTGCCTGACAGGTCAGAGTGTCATTGCCCTGTGAGCACCATGGGCAGGGAGTCAGAGCACATGCACAGGTTCAGAGGAGGAGAGGGCAACCTTTGTATTTGGTGGGGTGGGGGTTTTTTACCTTAATTATGCCTTTGAAGAGGTAACAACTGAATGTGAATTTACCTCTTTCACATGCATAAAACTCTGTGGGTGTGGGAGTGGTACATTTTGAATATGATGCTTTTAGGAGAAATGAAAATTGAGGGGAATAAAATTTCTGAGAAAAAGATAATCTTGGGTTTCATCTAGGGGTAAGTGGAGGTGTGTGTCTTTTGACACACACATGGGCTTAAAGTCACCTCATCAGCTTTGGAACCAGAGCACAGCCCCCCTCAGGCTGGGCCCACAGGCCCTGAGTGGTCACCTGGGGGCTGCCCCTGGAAGTGCCAAACCCAGGGCTCTTCAGGGAGTTTTGGTCAGAACAAACATCTAAAAAAGTCCTTAAAGCCTCCTGTTAAAGAAGGGCTTTTGAGTATTTCCTGGAGTACTAAACTGCAAGAATCACCCTGAGTGCAGTTTTGAGTGCTACAATAGAAGATTTAAACCTATTGGAGAGCTACCAAGACAGTGAAGGGCCTTGAGGGGAAGCCATATCAGGAGCAGCTAAGGTCCCTTGGCTTGATAAGTGTAGAGGAGACACAGGTGAGACCTCAAGGCAGTCCACAACTTCCTCACAGGCAGAAACGGAGAGGCGGGCACTGATCTCTGTTTCTCTCTGGTGACCACTAGTGGGACTCAGGTAACTCATGTGGAGCTGAGAAGAGACTCAGGTTGGATATTAGGCAAAGGCAAAGGTTTTTCCTCCAGAGGGTGTTTGGGCACTGGAACAGGCTCCCCAAGGTCACAGCACCAAGCCTGGCAGAGTTCAAGAAGTGCTTGGACAATGCTCTCAGGCAGATGGTGTGACTCTTGGTGATGGCCTGCTGGACTTCAATGATCCTTGTGATGGACAGAGCTGGACTTCAATGATCCTTGTGGGTCCTTCTGAACTCAGGATACCCCGTGGTTTTATGATCCCCCTGCTGCAGTTGGTCATCTTCCTCTGTAATTCTCCTTTGTCACACATACATGGTTCACAGGCCCTGGGCTTCATCCTTTTCTGGTTTTTGCTGTGTTGTTACAGCCCTGACCTCTGTGTGTAGGAGTCACCCTACATTTATTTACAGAGATCTGGAGGCACACATCAAACTCTGTCTTCCTTCATTGTGTTTAAACAGAAAAGGGCAAAATACTATCTGGCTATCAAAAATATTCCAGTGTTGCAAAACAGCCCTTAAGTACTTTGTGGTTTTGCTTCCTCTGAGTTATGTGTCTGATTAAAGTTAAATGTATCATTTCATACACCATCACAGCTGAGTTACGCTTGGGTAACGTGCATCCAAATTTGCTGTATATCTATATGATGTATTTATTGTTCTGCATGTTAAGAGGGTATTAACTTACTGTACTTGCAGATGTTTCAGCCCTTAGTTAGCTTTTAAATTTGTGATTTTGCTTTCATCTTAGTTTTATAGTAGATAATTCTAACCTTCTCATTAAGTTTAATGAGTAACCACGTTGGCTCACTGCTGTTTCTACATGGTACACTTGTGCATACAGTCATCAGAAAGATTATGCAAAACATGAGAAATGAATGCACACATGCAAAACTGCATAATGCATTGAAATAATCAAGAATCATTTAATCAGGAACATTCTCAGGTATCCTCAGTTCATGCAAACTGTGCATTTAAAATTTTTTATTACTTTTATCAGGAATATTTTCATGGGAAGATGTGATGCTAAATATTCCTCAAAATATTGTGGCTTTGGTTTGAGGTCAATGTATTCAGAAAATGAAATAGTTCAATTTTAAAGTGCAGAGAGAGGTTTCAAAGGGTCAGCAGTATGAGCTGATCTCCCCATTGTCTTTATCTGACTTTCCTTTCAGAGACAGCCCTCAGTGCTGCCTGGTCTCTGTGTTTCTCTGTGGTAGGAAAAGGACACAGAAATTGCCTGTTCCTAATCTGAGTGGTCCAGACAGGCTTTATATTTTATGAGTCTAGCAGTATGTTAGTGTGGGTGTATTTTGATTTCTGAGCCTGCTCACCCTCCCCCATCATCCATTCTCTCTTCATCTTAAAAGCTAAACATCTCATCTCCCTTTCCAGATCTCCTGTGCTTTCCAGTGCCCCAGCAAAATGTGGCTGCTCCACAAGAGCAGAGATCCTGCAGAGGAGGCAGTGTCAGGAGTGTCTGGGAGAGAGGTGAGTGTGGGAAGGGAGGGGAGGGAGAGTGAGGCACAGGGATGTGGCTGCAGGCAGTGCTCCAGGTGTTTCCCACACAGCCTTGCAATCTTGGCTGCTCTTCAGGGGTGTTTTTTATAAACCAGTTTTGCTGCTGCCTCCTAACTATGGGGCCAGTGCACCCTCCTTTGCACTGACTGTGAGAAACAAACCTGCAGTTCCAGCAATCACATGGGATGCTCCCAGACTGCCCATAAGGATTTCTCACCCTCCTGCCCTATGCTGAGGGAAGCAAGTTCTCCTATCATTCTTTTCCCATGTATTTCCCCCCTGCTTTCTTATTTCCTCTTTCCTCCCCTGCTACATTTTCTTCCTTTCTGTGATACATTGAGAATTATTTTATTGTGCCTTTCTCTTCTAGAAGTGTCTTTATTCCACTGTTAGTATTGTACTCAGCTCTTGTCTCCCAGCACATGGGAAAACAATCTTGGTGAGGGTACCAATGGACTTCCTCCTATCAATCAAATACTTTCAATGAGTTTGGACAGAAACATCTCATTATTTCAAATGGAAACATCACAATTAAAAAAGGAGGAGAAGGAAGGTGAAATGTTCTTTGTTTTTTTTCAGAATTTGGAGTGCTGTGGAAAGTTTTCACAAATTAAAATTCCATTTTTGGCTCTTTCTGACAGTAAACAGCTTTGATCTTAATATCTGTGCACTGAAAAACTCTGCAGGCTTAGAGCAAAGTGGGTATTTCTAAAATCCTTCTGAGGAATGACAAAAGGATAAGTGATCCCCATACATCCAAATCAGAAAGTTACTGAATAGCAAATGTTAGGAAGATTATCTTTAATGCATTTTCCAGAACCTGAGCTCTGACATTGTGCTATGTTATTTTGTGAGCTGATTTGGGCACCAGGACCACAAAGCACAGCTACTTTCTCACCTGAGCTGCCATTGAAATGATATTGTAACAAAAAAGAGGCCCAGGGTCAAGAGACTGTAAGGATAGGATATAAAACCTTACCTTTTTTTTTCCCAGTTAATATTTGACAGAAAAAAGCTTTTATGTCTATAAAAACAACTTCATTCTAAATCTTTCCACCTCTCATTCCAATTAAAATACTTTCCTACTGTAATGAGGAGGTCCTGCTCTAGAACTCGAGCAGCTCCATGATATACCCTGGCTGACTTTTGTGGGCTTTCTGAGTAACATTCTCAATAAACTAATAAAGAAGAAATCAGTATTTCCATTTCAGAAACAGCAATTATAGTCTAATGTTTTTATTTGGATAGTCACATCCTGAGTCTCCTCATTTAGTTAACATTTTTAATTTAAAAACTCAGCTTTATGGCTCTGCTGTAGCTATGTTTACTTTTTACTTGTGCTGGGGAACTTCAGAGCTTTCAGGCTGGGCCTCTGAGACCATGACTCACTGGCCTTGCACTGCTGCAGCCCACAGGGGCTAAGGCCATATGCAAGATCTCTGGCTGTGAAATAATTCAGGTGAGAGAGGAGCTGAGTGTGAGGCTGCTGTGCTCATTCATGGTTATTAAGATGACCTTGGGGGGCAGCCTTGTCCCAGTCCTGTGAACTCAGAAAGGTTCTTTTAATTAACCATTGAAAACACAACAGAAGATCCAGTTTAGAGAACTTCTGGGGCTAGAAGAGAATTAATTTGGTTTCTGTCCAGCATCTTATTGGATGGACTGAATTTTTAATTTTCATCCACATTTTAATCACATTGCAAGCTGGAGTTCTTTCATGCTTCAGCAAGATTTAGTTACGTTGCCTTTTTGATGTTAAAAAACCCAATTTCTTAGATTATAATAGGGAGCAGAGGAGGCACTTAGATCCCAGTCCCACTGCTGAGTTTTTAACAATTCTTGTCTGTCTTAGTGAAATTAGGTGTGTTTTGATGGAGATCACCTTTTCCCCCCTTGAGATATTGGAAACAAAGTCAAGGTCTGCCAAAGCTCCCTGGACAACCTAGACAAAACATGTCCATTGTGGGCTTTGGCTGCATCCTCTCTCATTAGAACAGAGCCTTCATTCAAAGAGCTGAGAAAAAAACAAGGCAAATTTTGGCTGGAGCAGAGCATTGGAATATCTGTAAGCTTGCAGCCTTCCTCACTGTATTAATCTTTAATGTTTTTATTGAAAACAAAATGTATAAATAGCTTTAGAGCGATCTACTCCTTGGCAATAATCTTGGCATTGCTTTTCACTGAACTAACAATGAGCCTCTGATAATTTATGTGCTTTCAAAAGGAACACAAATAAGACACGTTTCCAGGTAAACATAATAGACATGACATTTAATATCCTGTCTTTGTAATTTTCTTTTTTTTTGGTGCATCTACAATAGAAGATGTTCTTTCACAGAAAAATGAGTGTGTTTGCAATAGAAAACCAGTGGCTATTAAGGCTTCTCCTTCCAGCCATTAGCATGTGAAGAATAATTTTATAATTAACAAAGCTGTTCCCAAGGGGAGGAATCTTAAGGAGCTCACTGTCCTTATTTTTTGAAGCTTTGTAGCTTTTTGTGTCACTAGGTGACTGTTGATGTTAGCCATAATGGCTCTCACATGGACTGGAAAAAAAGATCTTCATTGCATTTTATGAAGTTTTCCAAGAGATGTGCCAGTCATGGTGAGTTGATACTGCCCTGTCCTGGGTGAGAGAGAGGCAAAGAAACTCCACTCATGCACACAGAGCAGTTTCTGCCGCTCTAGTCATAGCTTGTCATTTAAATCTCTCTTGTATGTCTGTGTAATTCTGGACAGAACTTTGCCTCGGTCCAGAGTATTTTTTGGGCTTGGTTTGCCATGTGCTGAGTTACTCCATTTCCATGCAACACGACCACAATCTGTGTTTAACAGCAGATTGCAAAAGAGAATGGACAAAGAGGTTAGATAACAAGCAATGGTGAGATCCTTTGATGACAAGGATAAATAGTAAGTGGTTAAGGCCTAAAGAAATGTTAAATAATAAACCAGATGGGTCCTTGCTGAAAAGAGTAGAAGAGTCAAGTTCATTTCCTCCTTTGTGATGTTGCTGACACAAACCTTGGCAAGATGCTTGGACTAATTCTGGAGAAGATCTGGTTTCATTTGGCTGCTTGAATACATCATTGCATTCTTAGAAACAACATTCTGCTGCAGACTAATTCTGACTCTGCCAAGCCACAACCATCTTTATTTTTTACCCTGAAGCACTCAAACAGGGAGGTTTCTTTTATATAGGCTTGAACAGGTCAGCTCCTAACTTAGCCCAGCCCCCTTGAGCAGGAAAAAGTGGCTGCTTCTCTGCCAAACTTATTGCAGCTGCCCTCACATCTTACTTAGACATAGCCAGAGTTCATGAAGAACAGGTAGCAGATGAAAAAGAGAGAAAGTTCTTTGGAGAAGGGGGCAAATCTCATGTCATTGGACCCATTGCTGGTTCTGGTTCCACAGTCTAAAACAAAGTGCTGGACATTTTGTGTTCCACTACTTTCCAAGTCTTGGTCTCATTCTTGTCTTCCATTTCCTATTAATAAATAGGGTCATTTGCCTACCCAATGAAGTCCTATAAGCACAAGAATGAGGAATGGACAGTCACTGTAGGTTGTGAGTGGCTGGGGAAGGACTATCAGGCTCCTGTCTTGTGTTTGATGGTATTATCTGGACTGCTGGAGCTATAAATCCATACCAACCATGTGTGAACTTATCCCTGCTGCCTACTGCCAATGGCCAGATCAGCACCTTCTCTGTTAGCACTTCTCTTCCCAGTGCTGTTGCCCAGTGCTTGCCCAGACATGTAGTAACATTCCTTTTTTTTCAAGCCTGGATGGTCTGGAAGAAGAATAAAGTTAAAGTAATGACAGTGGGTGCATTTTGGACATTGAAACAAGAGAATGACCAATCCAGATAAACAAGACTTGATTTTATTAATAAAATTTGTATTTCCCTCTTTGAGGTGACAGTTACAAACTTTGGTTCAAAAATAAAAGAAAATATGAACAGCAAGAAGTTGACTTTTGGAATCTCACTTTTACATGTATAAACGTGCATAAGAAAATACCAGTTGGAAACGAGCCAGCAGAAACTAGTACTATTTAATTTAACAATTTATAAGAAATAGAAACAAACATTTCTTTTCAAGTCTTACATATATTATGAAAAATAATTACAAAAGGATTTGTGTTGTAAAGCTAAAATGTAATTTCTACTTCCAACTACCTGAATAAAATGTTCAGAGGGAAGGCCAAACCATCATGTTTTTTGGTGAACTTTGAACAGTGAATTGTAAGAGTTTGGGTCAAAGACAGCTCTTTAGGAAGCAGTCCCTCCTGTGTTGCTTAGCAACTGTGTAGAATCACATGACCTAGACATATTGCATCCCTGGCCTTCAGGTGGAGTAACAGGAAGAAAAATAATTCATATTAATGGGACAGGCAAATATTGTATAGACTATTCTGTGAAACCTTTAGTATCCAGTTTAGGAAGCAAACATCCATCATTGCTTACACAAACATCTAAGTAAACACTGCAAAAATCCATAAATAACTGTTTCAAATCCCGTTTTTATACTTATGTAGCCCAAATAAGCAAAATGGAAACAAATCCAGCTGAGATAAAAAAAAAAAAGGAAAGCTATATGACTAATTTATTTCACAGATTTTAAACAGTTCTCTAACACAGAAGTTTGTTTTTTTCTTATATGTTTTCCCCACCCAAAAATATAAACTTGTTTATTTTAGGTATATACAGTTATCTTATGAAATTATGGAATTAGAATAGAAAATAAAAAGTCTGAGGTATAGCACCATGGAACACAGCACCTTTGAAAGTGCTTTCATTTCATCATCTAAATTCATTGTCACAGAGTGATATCAGCAGAAAGGAGTTGTTTGAATGTGCTGCTCAAGCTCTTCCAGTTTTGACACCTTAATTTTACTGGCGACTTCAAATAACAAAGCTCTTCAACAACAATATATACAAAGGGATTTTATTATTAATCAGAAATGGAATTGGCTTCACTGGCAATTACAGTTTTATTTTTTTCAGAATACATACACAGTATTGACAACGTAGTTTGTAATTGTAAAATAAGAGCCAGATGCAATTCAGAGACACATGCAAGTTTTGGAAGTGGACAGAGAAATCACAGTATAGTACTGTACATAGAATAATTACAGTTTATATTAAACACTCTCTAAACACCTCTTTGTTGTAATGGAAGGAGCACCATTGTTGTTGGTTTTTTTACAGCACCAGAGGAATCCAAAGGGGGTGTTCCTGAAGTGAGCCCTATGTTGTCTGTCTGTGCCACAGCATCTTTGCAAAATAAGTTTAAGTCATGTGATTCTGGCCCTACAAGGGCAATGATTACTTTCTAGATAAGACATACATACACAGCAAGACATTTTCTATGCCATCCTTACTCAAAACTTGCATGTGGCATGAAGTGGGTTGGTAGCACCAAAGTGCAGCATTTGTGTTGATCTGATTTTGTCTTAAGCTTAACCAAGGAAGCAGACAGGACCGACCTCAAATCCAAACTTCTGGTTCTGATCACCAAAGTCATTGATCATCACATCAACTATGGGCACTTGGTCTATTTTGGGAGTGTTGATTTCCAGCACTGTCTTTGCGTAGCCCTTTCTTGACTGTTAAAAAAGAGAAGAAGAAAACCCAAACTGTTATACCTCTGAGCATTTAACATGCTGTAGATCTTCATATTTTATCTCTAAAGTGTAGAATTTTGAAATGATTGCCTTGACATGCACCAGATATTGCAAACCCTAAATCTTGTATTTTCTTATGATTTAATTCTAAAAATGTGACATGTAATGCTTTGATTTTAGTTGGAGGATGAACCATAGATTTTTTTACTTACTAAAGTAGGCCTACAAAAGAAAAATAATTTAAGATATTCCATGTTTTTTAGAGAATTCTATAGTTCATGTCTATACTATGTAATAAACAATAATATTGTCACAGCAGTACACATTTCCTGTGGAAAAAGTCACAAATTAGTTCTGAAACAGAAAAGATCCACTTCTAAGAAGAAATACTGTAACTAGCTCACAAACTATTACAGCAACTAAGAAGAAAGTAATATTCTGCCAGGCCTGCCAACTGCTGCACTTAGAAGCCAGCTTTGAAGGCACACCCTTGCTGCCTGGAGAAGGCTCTCTAGCTCCTGTGTGCATCACTCACATCACCTATCAGCACTGCACTTCCTTTAGATGGTCTCTTATATCTGCTGAGACCCCTTTCAGCTACACCAGGGTCTTGGAGTTCAGAGGAGCATCCAAGCTGACAGGCCTGAGTGTTCTCAGTTTAGTGTAAGCTGCAACTTTCAGCTCTCTCTGGAGCTCTACATTTACCCTCTGTGGATAACAAAAGTGAAATGGAAATACAAGGCACAGAGAAAGGCTGACATGTATCAGCTGTGTATTAGAGTCTCACTGCTGAGGGGAGGTGCTTTGCACCTCCTGAGCTGCATCTCTGCCTCAGGTGGATATCCTGGCACTTTTGGGTCTCTAATTCTGTATCTCTGACTGCTCAGAAACTGCCTTCAGAATGCTCCCATATCAAACCCCAAAATAATTAATGAGGCTTCAACTGTCCCTTGTTCTTTTGATGCCTTTGTTTCAAAGGGTTCAATAGAGACTGTTCTATTTCTGAGAAGTGGTAACAGTTGCTATGCCCACAGAGACCCTGAAAGAGGAGTGCTCAGGGAGCTGATGTATGCTTGGACACCTCTGGGGATTTTTAGCTTAAAGGAGGATTCTGAAAAGTAAGAGCCACAAACTTCACCTGGCTTTGAATACAGAAAATAAGAAAAGGAAACACAAAGTCACATATCAAACTATGAAATTAATTCACTATGTTTGGGTACATACATAGGATTTATGTGATACATGTTTTTGCTGTATTCAATAACTATTCTATTTGTGTATACCTTGATTTTTAGTACCAGTATATTCTGCTTATATGCTGCCTACTCTCGTTATCTTTTTTGCTTCTGTTCTTTCCTTATACTGTGCTCATACACAGTAGCAGATAGTCTGCTTTCAGCACAGTGGTGTTGACAGCCTGCATCCATTCCAGGTTTGTTCAATTTCTTGGCTTGTGGTTATATCTTTTTTGGTACATAGGTGAAAATTGAATATGGCACTAGTGTACTATGGTTAAAAATCTACTAAAAATCAGTATATGACAAGTGAAGTGTTTACAAAGCTTGTCTCAGAAGAAAGCTGTGAAAAAATAGATTTGTTTGATTTCCACTTTAAATGACAGGTGGGTTTTGTAAAGACTCTTTGAAGCTCTACTTACTGCACAGCCATCATGGAGAGCTTTGATGTAAGGATTGTTGTCATAAGACATTTCTTCATCATTGGATCCTAAGAACCTTAGTGCTTTGTCATAGCTGTCAGAGGGTGCATCATGCCAGGCTACAGACTGGTGACAGTTGTAAGTGAAATTTTGTCTGGCAGAGGCACTCAGTAGTTTAAGGAATGTCATTTGGACCATATTAATGGAATTGCCTTCAACATCCAAATAGGAAAGCTGGAAAATATAAAAAATTAGATGAATATTTATCTGTTTTCTTTGGTACAATGCAAACCAAAATTATTGTTGACAAAAGAGAATCATATAACTGCCCTCAATAAAAATATCAACCAACACATAACATTTTATGAAGTTTTAAAGGTCGATACAGCTATGACTCAGTAAATAGATTTTCATAATGTAGCAGTATATTTAGGATGAAGAATTACATATATGAGCTTTGTTCTACTGGGAAAAGAGAGAATTATTCCTGCCTTATAGTGTAAAGCAGCAGAATCTGTTTGGTAATCTGTTTTTAGTTAATCATAAAGTTAGTCAGCCTGCAGCCTCACCTCTGCATACCCAGAATATTTCCAGTAACCTAGACTGGGGTGGGGGATCTGTGCTCCAGCTGCTTTCCCAAGGTTTGGTGGTGAGGTGTGTCTGACATTGGCCAGATCCTCACCACCAGCTGTGCAGGTGACCTTTGGGATCTGTGGGACAGTACAGACCAGGCTTCTGCTGTCCAGGGGCAAGAGACCACATAGGTGCTGTGATATTTAGGCCAAAAGGGCTGGGGGTCTTTTCATTATGTAAATATTTGTAAAATTCCCTGTGATCTGCTGATGGCTGAAAAGTTGGACCTGATTTGTGAATACAGTTGCATTGCAGTGACAACTTACAAGTTTTCCTCGCTTAAATTCACTAAACCAAGATCCTGGGTTCTCCTTTGGCCATGATGAAATTCTAACCTGTGAGGTCAAACAGCAGAGACAGAAGTATTTGAAACATATGTTGACAGATATGAAGGTTTTACATTACTTGGGACAAATACCACACCAGATAATACAGAATGTATTATAAAGTGGCTGAAATCTCAGCCACTTTAAAGGTCTGAAATGGAATGTTTTTCTTGTAGAGAATGCCTTCAAATTAGTGACTTCAAATGGAATCCAAGAGAGAGTTAATTCTATTTGAGGGAGATGGTTGTAATCTGTTAAAAGCCAGGTAAGCTGATGGTATAAATTGTTGCTGTGAAGTATCTAAATGAGTTTTCACCAGTGTTGATGCTAATGAATTCCTGTCATTTATGCAAGATTCAGAAAGCCTTCCTCTATACCATATGCCTCAGCAGATGTAATCTATAACAGTGAGTAAGAACACTGTTAATACAGTCTTTTACATCTACTTTGCATAGGAATACATGAATAGATATAAATGAACCCACAAGAGAAACACAGGAATGTTTAGCTTTTAGGTGACAAATACTAGATCATCTGCTGTAAGTGGCTGCTCAGCTGTGTTGCATTCTGAAATGTACTGACATGTTAGCAAGCAGGTGCACAGATTCCCTATCTGAAGTTGAAAATGGTATTTGTTAACTCTATGTACCATTTTACTGCTCCATTCAGATATATGTAAATGTAATCAGAAAGAGAGATACATGAAAATGTGGCAATGTAATTATCCTGTTTAGTTCAACATTGTAACAGCATAATAGTAACTGTCAACAGCCAACTGAAAACACAGATTGGTACTTACTCCTTCAGATTTCTTATCTGGGTAGATGCAAGTTTCCCCACCTGCTGTGAAATTGCAGTATACTTTGAAGGAGTCTCCAGAACAGCCCTGGTTAGGATCAATCCAATATTCCCCTAAGACAAATGAGAAAATATTCGCCTTATACAGTAGAAATGGTATTCAGAAGAGCCAGGTTTTACTGCTACCTAATGGTCCTCCAAAGTAGGAAATTTATTTTATCTGAATGTTTTAGGTCAGGGAGCAAAATCTGGAATGCATCCCTATCTGCAAACAGAGGTGTCTGCATGGGGCTTGCTGGGGCTGTAGCTGGCACAAGCACCTGAAGCTTCCACTGAGATGGATCCACCTCAAGCAAAGACCTTTCCCTCCTGGCTTACGAAGCTGCAACACCAGTGAAGGCTGGGCATGAAAAGAGCTGCAGCCCATCCAAGGTACATTCAAAGTCAGTGCTTTTTAAAATCTGATATTCCAATTAGAATGATGATTTCTGTGATGAGGGTTCTTGTCTTCAGGTGTTTCACAAGCAGGGCAGCAAGTGACTTTCTGACAACTACAGTTCTAATCCAGTTTCAAACAAATAGTGGAGGTTTCAAAGAGAAATGACTAATCCTTCCACCAGTTCTGTCTTCTGAATATAGGGCATAGACAAAGTATTTGTGGGGTTTAACAATTCTGTTGATTTAGGCTGTATATTGAAAACAGTCCTTCCTTTCTGTAAGTCTTATCCCTGAAGAATTCTGAATTTTAATGAACACATTTGCTTTTATTTTAACCAAGATAAGATTACTTTTATATGAAGACAGCTCTAAAGAAGAAGCAAATACTGGTAAATGCAGAGTGTAAAAACTGTTCCTTATTATGGAGGGCACTGAATTGTAAAATATGTACTTTTCATATAGCACATACACTGCTTAACTACTCCTCAAGGCAGCCATCTGTTCTTATCTATCTACAGTGAAAGCAATAAAATATTATTAAACTGTCAAAATCTATTTTTCCTCCCATTTAAAAGCAGAAAAATATTGCTTTGAACTGGGAAAAATATGCATTGCAATTGAAAAAATTAAGAAAGGATGAAAATTTAGTGAAGGCTGGCTTTCATTTAAACATTTTCAGAGGGGTAAAATTATTTAGAAGAAAAAAGAGAAAACAACAAAGAATAATGAATTCAAGATAGTTCTTAGGAACACTGGGTATCTTCATATTTCTATGCATTTTATTACACTACTACTTGGTAGCATTAAACAGTATCAAAGAAACTTCCATGCCTCTTTGCTGGCTGATCTAGAAAAAACAGTGCTGATGCAGTAGAGAAAATTATTGCTTCCAGGGCTAAAAGACTAGTAAACTTTTTGAGAATCATTACTGAACATAAATCTCATATAATACCAATGCTGAAATATCATTATACTACACCCACTACAAATATTGTTATACTACACTCTTTCATCACACTCCTGTTTTGATCATCCTGGAAATGCAAGGCCCGCCTTTCAAGACAACAACTGCTTTTTATTTATCATTTTAACAGGTTTTAACTCAAAAACCAGATCAGGTTATGTATTTAAAGAGTTTTGACTCTTACCAAGAGAACATGTCTTACACTTTTAATCTTTTATACCTGTAAAAATGGATTCAATGAGACTGTGTTTGTTGAGCAGCTGTATGAGCCATGTCTCAGTATGGGTGAGTGGTGCCCAAGGCCCCTGGCAGAGCCAGGCTCAGCCCCGTGTGCCCGTGCTGTGCAGTATGAACTCACCGTCTGGGAAGTCGGGGTGGCAGAGCTGCAGATCTTTGCAGGTCCGGGCTGGGTTATTCTGAGTGCCCATGGGAAACTTCATGTGCTCAATGTCTTGCTTCAGGGAATTCAGGGAGCCAAAGATCTCCTCCATGCCATCAGTATAATCCAGAATATTATCACCAGCATCAGATAACATATAGTCAGGAGATCTTCTTGTCTTCTTGGCTGACTGGATTGGCAGTGGCTGGATTACCTCACCTGGAGGGCCCTAAGTGGAAAACAACATATCTAATTATATCTTCTGTTAGTTTTTCAGCAGAGAAGGACCACAGAATGTGGCTTGGAGATGCTTTGAATAGGATTTCTTCAAGGTATTTATTTCTTTATTTCACCTTCTTTTCTTTTAGATTCATACCTATGTGCTTTGATTTACTTGAAGAAAAAACCAAAAAAGATTGTAAAAGGCCAAACCATTGTTGTGCTCTAAACTCTTCTCACTACATTGATTTTGGGGATGAGTGTGTTGCCCTCACACAAGTGACACACAGAACTCACAGTTGCCTCTGTAAGGAGGCAGTATCCCTGCCTATTATTAACATATGTGCTTGAGGGAATTAACAGTATCCCTGTTAATTCCCTCAAGCACAGACATATTCTATGAAAATTGAAAACTCCGGATATTTCCTATGATAAAAGTGGAAAATTCCACTTGGGGTCTAGGAAACAGTATTTAATTTCAAGAAATTGAAGAACTTCACTCAGGTTTGGACTCTTCATTTTAGTTTGTTATGATATTAAAAATAAATATGGAAACAGAAGAGTATAAGCAGGGGAAACCAGTAAAATTTAGTTTTCTGTGCTTCAATATAACGCATAAAATAATTATTGCATGAGGGGCTTCTTTGTTTGGGTTGGTTATAGAGGTTTTTTGGGGTGTTCTTTTTGTTTATTCTATTTATTTGTTTTAAGTTTCTTCTGGCTTTTTCAGTGCAGATACGTATTTCTGTGCCTGGGGATCTGTGTTTTCTGAAAAATGAATTTTCAAACCATCATTCATATTTTAGTTCCCAAACATTGTTTTCTACCCTTGTCAAAACAGGTTCATCATGTCAGGGTAATGCAAGATAAGAATTCTTACTTACTGGAGGACCAGGTGGACCAGGTAAGCCACTGTCACCCTTCTGACCAGCAGGACCCTACAGAGCAATGAAAGGAGTGCAGTGTTGACCATTCTGCACAACGTTTAAAAATAACACACACAAAAGCTAAGGAAAAGAGGAGAAAGTGTAGAGGAGAGTTACTCACACTGGATCCTTTGGAACCTTTGGGACCCTGGGGACCCTATGGGCAAGAACAGGTAACTCTGGTTAGAGTGTACTGCACACAGCTTGGGGGTGGGTAGAACAGGAGGGCTGGATGAAATTACTTACAGGTAATCCAGGAGGACCAGGGGGTCCAAGGGGACCAGCAGGACCAGAAATTCCCTAAAAAGGAGTAAGAGAATAAACATATAACTAAAGTATCCTACATACTGGACTGTGTTAAAAAATTGTATCTTTAAAAAAAATAGTTCCATGAAGTGTCCAGCTGTGGTGAGTTTTGAGTTAGGCCATTTGCTAGAGGCCAAAATAGTTGGCAAGTTTAAAATATTAGATCTGACAATGTGAGTTGCTTGTAGTTGTTCTTACACTGACTGCAGTGGATTTTCAGAGCTGTGTTCCTCTTCAGATTGGCTTGGAAACCTCACATTTTACATAGTGCCCTAAAAACATGGGTTAGTAACTAGAAGAGAGGGAGCTACTTTGGGTAATGCAATCAGAAAATGTGATGAGATTGCTGCTGCTACTTTTATCTTGTTGCTAACTTGTTCTGTGTGCATGTTGGGGTCTATGTGCTTCCTTCATTTTCCAAAAACACTCTATAACCTCATTTCAAGATGTTTAATATTGCTGTGTTTGTACAATGCCTAAGAAAGTTTTAACCTCTTGCAGGAGACTCTGGGTGTTAAGTGTTTAGAACAACTTTCAGAAGGAAGCCTGGAATAAGACACTCCTTCTTACATTTGAAAGAACACAAATATGTTGTACTCACTGCATCACCCTTGGCTCCAGGAGACCCCTGTGGGCCAGGAAGACCCCGATCACCCTTTTCACCCTGTTCTCCTGGAGGTCCAATCAAGCCAATCAAACCAGGATGTCCCTGAACAAGATTTAAGAAAATATAATTAACATACATTAAAGTAAATGTGCTTTGCAAAAACATAAATTAGATCTTTCTCATGTTACCACTGTTGCTTGTCAACAATCAACCTGAAAACAAATTATTCTAAAAGTGTATTTATTGTTGTTAGATGGTCTTTCCAACTTTCAGATCATTTGCAAGTTGTGACTTCTTATTCAGTGAAAGAGCTAAGTGCAGTCTTTACTGAAACCAGCAGAGAAATTGCAGTACCCTGGGTACAAATTTCATACCAGTTTCCACAGGTAGCTGCTATCAGCATCTCACAGAGTTCCACATGTGATATGGCTGCATAAACAGCTGATCCAAGCAGATAAACAGAACCTGCAGTTCACAAGGCACAGTCATGTTCATGCCTCTTTCTCTACAGGTTTTTCTCTGATACCAAAGCAATCAATGTATTGTTGGGACTCCATAGGAAAATGCTATCTCAGATGTCTCAATCCACTATTTCAAAAGAAAGTATTATAGCTGTTAAATATTTATATTTTTTTCTTTTAAAATAAAAATTGCCAATACTCATAATTTCTACTTGCTTTGCTCTTGTAAACCTGACAGTTCTCTTTACATCAATATCTTTGGGATTCTCATTGCAGGGACCACATGGTCTATAGAATACTACACAGGCAGTAATCCTTTTCTTTCTAGGTGATTCCAGGATATGGCTTAAAACTTCTTGATTACTCTTAGGGCTGTGGAAGCTGTTTGATAGCATGGTACAATGCCTTGCTGATAAAAACTCTGCTGCTTCTCCCCGCTAATTTTATACAGGTTTTAGACTGGGCTGAAGTTACAAAGACACAACTAATTAGCAAAGCATACCTTCTCTCCTTTGGAACCTGGGTCTCCTTTCAGTCCAGGCAAGCCAGGTGGGCCCTTTATAAATCAAGGGAAGTCATGTTAAAGTAAGTTTTAACATCCTGCTCAAATCACGTTTTCTTGAAATGTTATTGAAGGCAGTTCAAATCAAAGTACACATTCAGTGGTTGATGGTTGTGATTGATGACATGATTTAGAGCCCAAGATGAAATGTATGTTTAAAAAATCATAATGATGTTACAGTGGTATTTAAATTACTTTATAATTAGAAATCTATAAAAGGTTGGATGAATAGAAATCTATGGAACAGAGGGTCAACTAAATTCTTGATTTGGGAAGTCTTTAGATTTTATAAGAATGGCAATGCTGGTTTTGTGTAATTTGTACATAATGAGGTGAAAAATGCAGGCCATGCAGTGCCTGTGCAAAAGACATGAATTTTTCAGAGGCTGTTAATCTCACACTGCACATGTGTCCATGAGGTGTAGAGCTGCTACACTAAGTCTGTGTCTCCTCACCACTGCTCTCCTGGTGGCAGTGGACAACTTCTGCTATGGATAGAAGTGATAAGAGACCTTTTCCACCTGGCACATATTCAAAAATGCCATAACATTTCATGTACAAAATATTATTCAGTGCTTATGCTTTCCATCTCCACTTCAGGATATCACTAGATGCAAAAGCCTAAGCAAATACATAATTCATGAATGAAATGTGAAATTTTTAAGCTTTTGGAATGCAGAATTAGACTTTTCACCTGCAGTGTGTTGTGCTCTACTGCAAATCAGGCTTCACACTCTCTTGATAGCAATCTTTTGCGGAGGATGGGAGGGTAAGGAGGGAAATCTAACTTGAGAAGCTTTTACATATCAACTTTACTTTCTTAAAATCCAAAATTAAGTTGCAGCAATGCATTAAAAAGTTGTTGTTGAGCTGACAGGAAGTCTGTGCAATTGGAAGTATATAGTTCATTAATATACTCAGCTCCAAATTTTAACAGAATATTTAAGCTCTCAAATGTTAGAAGAGGGATCTTTCAGTGATGTTTTTGGAGGCTTCTGTGAGTGACATGTGGGAAAAGGATGCTCACCAGAGGTCCAGGAGGGCCATCCTGACCTGGTGCTCCAGGCATACCTTGTTCTCCCTAGAAAAAAACAAAAAGCTGGCTTTACCAGAGTATATAGAGGAAATGCAACGTTTAAGATTTTATTTGCTCCATGACTTACCACAGGGCCAGGAATGCCCCGGAGACCCTCTGGGCCAGGTTTCCCTGCAGGTCCCTGTGGCCCAACTGGCCCTGTTTTTCCAGGAGCTCCTTCTGCACCAGGTTCACCCTGGAAAGAACAGACCAGGTCAGAGAGGGGCTGAGTTTGGCACTGAAGGGATGTACAAGAGGAAAAGTGCTTTTAAAAGCCACAGTTCTGCACAGGATGATTTCCTGAGTGAAATGTTTCTGGCTTCACAGAGAGGTGTGGTGCCAGCAGAGCAGGCTCCCCTTGCTTGTTGCAGGTGAGCTGTGCTGGGCCTGCACTGCTGGGTCCTCTCCATTACATATTGCTACTAATTCTGGGTCTGAATTTGGATTTTACAGATTGCCTGTTATTACTTTGAAAGGTTCCACACTCAGTGCATCTTAAGTGATTGACTTTTAAATTATAAATAGTTTATATTTCTATGCTTCAAAAAAAATCTTCAGTGTATTACCTTTGCACCTTTTTCGCCTTGTCTGCCTTCAGCACCTGTTGCTCCAGGAGGTCCCTGTAAAATATGGACACTGAGATCATAATCTCAGGTTTTTTCAAATATAACCAGTGAAAAAAATTCTGAAAGTGCAATTCCCACCATATTAATAAGTAGTAAATGCTTACAAAATAACATTAAATTTCTTTTTTTGACATTTTATCCACAGGCTAAAAAATACCAAACAGCTCTTATTCCCCTATAAAATTTTCTGGTTTTTTAGAATATCTAAAAGATGATGCAGTTTAATTTGTTTGGGAATATAAAAAAGAAAATCCAAACAAAAAAAAAAACAAACCCAAAACCCCCCCAAAAAAACCCAAAACAAACAAAACCCCCAAGAAAACAGTATACAAAAGAAAAAAGGCAATACTAATTTATATGTACAATAACAATTAATTTTAAACTTGATTTGCATTGAATTCTATCTATTCACTGTAGTTTATCCACTGATTCCAAAAAGGCCTCTCTTTCTACAGTGCACAGTGTGGCAAATACTTCTTTATTCTCTAAGTCAGGGATGGGCTCAGTAAGGGGCCTGATTACACTTGGACAGCCAAAAATTGACATATTATCCAGTAAATATCAAAGTGAAAAATAAAAAGACATTTTTCTCCTCCAGAACATCAAGGGCTGATTTTTAGGTCAGGTAATTAATATTCATAGCTTCAGTTATGAACGGGAGCAGTGTCTAGAATTTAATGCACTCTTCTGAAAATGGTTCTCTTATATGCTTAGTTTAGAAAAGATACACTCAAGATAATGGACCAACTGTTCTCCTACAAGGTTAATTTTTAGCCTGGGAAATGTCCTTATTACAAGTAGCTATTTCTTGCCAACCAATGAGCAGCTTAAAGGAACATGAAAGAAAAGTGACTATGCTCAAATGCTGTGATTTTGTCAATCTGTATAAGACTCATCTGTTCATTAATGCAACAAGCAGATTTTTATGTAAAAAAAATGTTCAGAAGATCAGCAACTAGAAAAATTCAATCACTTCCATTTATTTACTGCTTCTGACTTCTTAACTTATAGAAAAACAGTTCAGGCTCCTTAAAGGTAAAGCACCAGAACACAAATTAAATTTTCCAGGTAAGAACTGTACTTCCAGTTAAGCATCTGCCTGTTTGCTTTGTAGGCTCAGGGCTTTGGATCAGTGTTTGATCTAAAGCCATCTTTTATACTAGAGCTGAACTTTGCCCAAACCTTTTATTGTCTGATATATTTACTACCCACTGCTACCTTGGCACATACCTTGAGCAACTCCACTGGTTTTAATTCCTGGAAATTTATATTCATTTTATAGCTATTTACATAGAAGTATATTAAGATCATTCATTTGCTTCTGAAATTAAGCTTTCTCCAGGGTGACACTGAACATCTGCAGCACTGCATGAACCTTTTGGCCAGCAGAGATAGTTCAGACTGCATCAAAGATAACGCCAAATGAATTGAATTAACCACAAGAGGACTTTGACCATTTGTTGTGGGTATCAGCAGTTTTTTTCTTTGCTATTTTTAAGAGCTGTAAGGGCTAAAGGACTTAGTTTTATTTCTTCAAAATACAGAGAAGCTTAAACGCCCTGGGCCAAATGCTGACTCTTTAAAACAGGAAGAATATTTTAAATCCCTGCTGTTCCAATAATAATTAATGACGTCTGATGTATGTAACCCTTTGTGTAGGTTATAATTTGTTGGGTGGATCACAGTTTGCAGCGATAATAAGAAAGATCAACAGGTACATAAATAAATTCAGAAGCATTTTAGATACATGACTTTTTTTCTTACATGAATTAGTTTACATGCCCATTTTCTTTACTTGCTTGAAGTTCCCACATGGATTCTAACCCACCCTATCTAAGAGACTGAAAAGGGTTGAATGGGGCAGTCTGTACTTGAGAAATATGGTCTCTGAATAATAGAAAAGAAGCTGCAGCATGAATTAATTAGCAGGGCTAGGCCCACTGTGATGGCTAAAGTACAAGTACAGTGCCTGCCATTAGCAGCAGTGCCCAGGCTGCCCCGGGCATGGAGCTGCTGCCGGAGCTGCCCCCGGGCTGCTGCAGACCCAGAGCGCTCCTGGCCATTCTCCCACCGCACTGGAGCGCGGCTGGGGCACTGTGACCGCAGGAAGGATCTCCAGAACAGCACTGCACATTAATGCTCTGTTCTCCCCCTCATCACCCCAGCTGCCATGCTGGCTCTCACCAACACTGCACTGTCATTTTGGACATGCTGCCTGAAA